TGGCTGGGCACAGATACGTTCAGAGCTTTGAAGACCAAGACCTTGAACTAGCAGTGGAAGCAGATTAAAAACTCTCTTCAGCTTCCTAAACTGCAACTGAACTTCTGCATGAAGCGACAAAGGAAAACAACCCCCTGGTTTCCAAGGACGTTTTTAAACACAGCAGAGATTTGATGTTTTATCTTTGTTGCCTTTCCTCTAAATGATTTCAAACTACCCATGGATACGAACGCCTCTAATTTCAAGGTTTTCCTTTTGGGATACAACAAAGTGAAGGCAGCAACTCAGAATTTTGGCTGCAGGCAGGAGAAGAACAGACATGTCCATGAGGGGACACAGCCATCCGTGGGAGCTGGAAGAAAAGAGAGGATTGGGAAGTTCTGGTTTCAGAAGCTTGTCCTCAGAGCTGGATGTAAGGGAGTTCTGCCCTAAGAACACAGGCTCTACAGGCTTATTGTACAGCAGCAGCTCCTCTGTCTATGTTGGGAGGAAGAACAGCCTGGTGATGAGAGGCATGGCCACTTGCCCTGGCCACAATCTGTGCCTCAGTTTTCCTCATGTGTGGAACAGAAGGGTTGGTATTGGTGGTCCTTACAAAACCCATTTGAGGTCTACTAATGAAAAGTGCTACAGTACTATCAGTCTGACTTTTATTCCTGCAGAATTAGTGCAGCCTGAAATCAGAGGGAGCCCTTCTGCAGGCAGGTTAGGATCACCTTTGTTCAAGGTTCTAACACCACTCGCTTGCCCTTGATTCCCATTTTAGTCCATGTGGTGTCAGCAGGGCTGTTGGGAACCATAGGCTGGGTCTGGTGCCTGGGTTCCCTCTGCTCTGCCTGCCATTGCTGGTGAGTGGCAGGGATGGACAGCCCACTGCCTTCCAGGTGTTGGCTGCCATACACACAGGCTCTGAACAATTGTGATTCCACTTCTGTTACACTTCCATGGAAAGTGGGCTGTTCCTTGTTCTTTTTTCTCCACTTTCATTGAATCGTAGAATCACAGAATGGCCATCTGGTCCCATCCCTGCAGGGCACAGGGCACCTGCAGCTCCATAAGGTGCTCAGAGCCCTAATCCAGCCTGACCTTGGGTGTCTCTAAGGATGGGGAATCCACCACACCCTTGGGAAGCCTGTGCCAATGCCTTAGCATCCTTATTATAAAAAACTTTTTTCTTGTATCCAATCTGGATTTCCCCTCTTGTAGTTTGAAACCATTTCCCCTTGTCCTATCACAGCAGACCCTGCTAAGGAACCTGTCTCATTCTTCCCTACCTTTTTTTTTTGTAGGGAAACTGATGCAGGCTGCGTATCGCCAGTGTAGGAGAATGAACCGGACAAGAGGAGAATATTTATTTATTATGAGAATGTCTGAAGTTTTCCTTTCTGCTGGCTTTTGGGTTGAGAAGGAGCACCTTGCATGCCACCCAGAGTCAAAGGGTAAGTGCAGTGAAAATAACAATCAAAGAAAAAAAAAAAACCAGCAAGGAAAAAGAAAAAAAGAAGAAAAGAAAGGAAAAGGAAAGAGATAGCATTAAAAGTAAAGCTTAAAAATTTACATTAAGAAGAAGAAGAAAAAAAGGTAGTTGCAATGGAACCGATGGACTCCGGGTCCCGCCCGCTCCCGTCCCGCGGCGGCGCGGACTCCAAGGCCCGGCATGCGGCGGGGCGGCGCGCATGCGCGTTGCGGCGGGCTTGAGTGGCAAGTTGTTTGTTCAGCGAGCCCAGCTGCTCGCCCCGCGCCGCTGCTCTGCCCGGCTCCGCTCCGCTCCCGCCCC